TTTTGCTCACTCTTGGGCTATATCCATCTGCTTGATACTAAGTTTTATATCGCATATGATGTTATATTAATGCCCTACATGGGGAATGTATTATTCTACTATTACTCTGTATATTGTTTGTTATCTTCCCAGTCTGGGTTATTCTCGGCCTTGTATACTGCATAATAATTTTTTGCACAATTTTTTGTATACATGCTTTATATAAAGCAAATTAGTGATATGACATGCATGGCTCTGTCTTTTTGCAGTCCCTCTGGCTGGGGGATTGGTTTGGTTGCCAGTGTGGACTCCTCCAAATTGTGGCACAGGGCTATACTTTATGCTGAGCAGTATGTTAACTCATATCCAAGAGGAGGCTTGTTTGCCTCGTGGTAGTTAGAATCTTATCCAATTTTACTCTTTTTTGGTTTCAAAGGTATAGATACAGACTGGCTTTTCCACTAATGTTGCCTTTTAAGGTTTATATGGTTTGACTGGATGTATATATGTGCAGAGATCCATACCTGTATGTTTTCTGACCCATCTGTGCAGATGCCAATAGTTTCTTTCTTTGAGGAGCATCGAGATGCTGGCAAATATAATGGTGGGTGTCTTTTAGGGGTCATGGCCCTTTTTTCTCCACTATGCATTTTTTTCTGTAGAGATACTGTGTGTTATTAAATTCCCCCTTTTTGCAGTGATCTGGGTACCCTTGTGTTCGGTTTTAGGGGGGTCCCGGGTGTCTGGGAGGTGGCAGCAGATTGGAGCCTTGCTTTTAAGTCTGATTGGAGAATCATATATATGTCCATTTTTCTATGTTGTGAGTATATTTATACTTCCTTTATAGACATATATATTGGTTCTAAATCAATGTGTCTCTAATCCAGGGGCGGACTGACCATTCGAGCACTCGGGCACTGCCCGAGGGCCCGGGGTCAGTAGGGGGCCTCATGAGATGCTCCTGGTACCTTTTTATTGGCTTTTTCATGGCTTTTTTGGGTGTGGGCGAGGACACAGGGGCCCCATGATCCCCTATTGCCTGGGGGCCCCATGAGTTGTCGGTCCGCCCCTGCTCTAATCTGACAGATCATATCACCTCTGTACAGAGTTTTGTTATCCCTGAGGAAGGAATGAAATGACTCATAAATGCGTTGGATCTTTGCACAACTATCCTTGCAACTAATCAGGATTACTGCAAAATCATCTCTGTAATTTGATGATATTCTCTGATGGTGATGTTATGTGATATTATAATTGTCTGTAAATCGTGTGCTATGTCATAACTTTTATATGTGTAGAAACTTTGACAAAATAAAGATTTCACAATTTCATTGAATATATTCATGCCTTTAAAGTCCCATTCAGTATAAGGGATGCTCTTCATAGTTTTATCATTTTTTAGGGATGGTGGCTGCTTATCAGGAATTCTTTTTTTCCTTTGTTAGGCTAACATAGTGAGCTAATATTGCGGCAATGCTGATAGATGAATGCTGATGTGTGTTTTATTAGAACATAATCATACCATTTCTGTATTTTGTGTAAAACTGCTTCAAATGTAATTGAAAGGATGATCAAAAGCTTTATTGTTGTGAATTGTAAACATCAGCTTTCTTTAAGGATAATTTATTTTATCTTTCCAAGTTTCATAAACTTGCAAATTCAGATAAAAGGAGAAAAAAATGTTTATAAAAATGGAAACAGCCCATCACCTGCAGAAGTAATTGTATTTTCCACTGTGATTTGCTGGCCTAAAGCATATGCATATAATGACTATAAAAACCAAACTGTATCTGAGGATAGAGCATTCAAATAGAGAATGTCAAAGAATGACAATATTATTTTCACTGGTGGCTACAGAGGAACACAGACAAGTTAATAAACATTTTTAATACATAATATAATAAAGCCAGGTATGATTCAAGTAATGATAAGATTACTCCTTCTGAATTGTAATTATCAGCTATTCCTTAAGGGTTTGTTCACACCAGACACCTTGCTGAAAATGATATGTTTTCTATGAGTGTTGGAGAAGGAAAGGGAAGAGGGTCCGGTGCCTTGCATTTACCTTTTGTTTTAACTTAATTTAAATATCACACTTAATTTAAATATCACAATGTGACATTTTATTAAAAAAAAAAAAAAAACTGATTGTATTTTTACATGGAACCAGCATTAAAGTGATTGAAGAGTTTTTTGTTTTTTTTTTAATAACAAACATGATATACTTAGCTGCTCAGGAATAGAATTGCACAGAGCAGCCCTAATTCTCCTTTTCTCGGATGCCCCACTGATGCTCCAGGCTCCTTCTCTTCTCAATGTGCCACCTTAGGAAGCTACTTCCTGTTGTGGCACACCTGCAGGCTCTCTCTCAAGCTGGCTACCTGCGTCCATAGGCATAGACAGAGCGGCTCAGCCTCCCTCCTTACATGATTTGACTAACAGCAGAGAAAACCAATGGCTTATCTACTCTGTGCAATGGAATTGGAGTGGCCTTGATCCTCCTTTTCTCAGGTGCCCCACTGGAGCTCCTGCCTTCTCATCTCGGTGTGCCACCACTGGAAGCCACTTCCTATTGTGGTACACCTGTTAGCTTGTTTCCAGGCCATCTGTCTACATCTATAGACATAGACAGCGCAGCTCAGCCCGACCTCCTGCTCCCTCCTTATTGGATTTGAGGACAGCGGAAGAAGCCAATGACTCCCGCTGCCGCAGCATAATATGTAAGAGTGGGTAGAGCCACTACAGATGGGCACAGCACTGGATTAAATGAGAGTTCAGGTACAGTGCCTTGAAAAAGTGTTCATACCCCTTGAAATTTTCCACATTTTGTCATGTTATAATTAAAAAAAAATTTTTATCTAGGATTTTATGTAATAGACCAACACAAAGTGGCACATAATTGTGAAGTGGAAGAAAAATGAAAAATGGTTTTCAAAATGTTTTACAAATAAATACCTGAAAAGTGTGGCGTGCATTACTCTGATACCCCTAACTAAATTCTAGTGGACACAATTGCCTTCAGAAGTCACTTAATTAGTAAATAGAGTCCACCTGTGTATAATTTAATCTCAGTATAAATACAGCTGTTCTGTGAAGCCCTCAGAGGTTTGTTAGAGAACATTAGTAAACAAATAGCATCATGAAGGCCAAGGAACACACCAGACAGGTAAGGGATAAAGTTGTGGAGAAGTTTAAAGCAGGGTTAGGTTATAAAAAAATATTCCAAGCTTTGAACACCTCATGGAGCACTGTTCAATCCAGCATCCGAAAATGGAAAGAGTATGGCACAAATGCAAACCTACCAAGACATGGCCATCCACTTAAACTGACAGGCAAAGAGAGTATTAATCAGAGAAGCAGCCATGAGGCCCATGGTAACTCTTGAGGAGCTGCAGAGATCCACAGCTCAGGTGGGAGAATCTGTCCACAGGACAACTATTAGTCATGCACTCCACAAATCTGGCCTTTATGGAAGAGTGACAAGAAGAAAGCCATTGTTGAAAGAAAGCCATTAGAAGTCCCGTTTGCAGTTTGAGAGAAGCCTTGTGGGGGACACAGCAAACATGTGGAAGAAGGTGCTCTGGTCAGTTGAGACCATAATTTAACTTTTAGGGCTAAAAGCAAAATGCTATGTGTGGTGGAAAACTCACACTGCACATTACTTTGAACACACCATCCCCACTGTGAAACATGGTGGTGGCAGCATCATGTTGTGGGGATGCTTTTCTTCAGCAAGGACAGGGAAGCTGGTCAGAGTTGATGGGAAGATGGATGGAGCCAAATACAGGGCAATCTTAGAAGAAAACCTGTTAGAGTCTGCAAAAGACTAGAGACTGGGGCGGAGGTTCACAGCAGGACAACAGCCCTAAGCATACAGCCAGAATTACAATGAAATGGTTTAGATCAAAGCATATTCATGTGTTAGAATTGCCCAGTCAAAGTCCAGACCCAAATCCAATTGAGAATCTGTGGCAAGACTTGAGAATCGCTGTTCACAGACATTTTCCATCCAATCTGAAAGAGCTTGAGCTATATTGCAAAGAAAAATGGGCACAAATTTCACTCTCTAGATGTACAAAGCTCATAGAGACATACCTAAAAAGACTTGCAGCTTGCAGTGACTTTGAAGTGGTTTTTTTTCCAGGCCTTTTATAAGCATTTTTGCACCGCAGTTCTATATCAGAAGATGAGTTCTTCAGGCATTATTGATTTTAGGAGTGATGACTTTATCAGTTGATGATTTGCGGAGTGGTGGCCTTGACACTTTCATTATCCAATCAGAGATAGGGAGCAGGTACGTAATCAAGTGGTCTTGCATGACTGCAATAGAAAAAAGTAAGGTCAGTGGCCTTGCTATGCTATCCTTCATGGAAAAAAACATTAATTTTGAATGACACTCCAACACACCTTACCAATGGCACAAGTTTTTCAGTGCACTACAAAGCACAAATGTAAATCTGTACATTGTGGTGCACTGCTTAAAAAAAGAAAAATGCAGATGCTTTAAATTGCTCATTGTAGTGCCCTGGCAGCTCAGTAAGGCTCCATGCACACTAGCGTTTTTTTTAAGCTCCTAGAAACTATCAGCATATTTTTTCTGCTCCTAGAAACTAAATAATGTTATCCTATGTTTCCATGCACACTACTTTTGGCTATTAGCATTTTTTGAGCTTCAGAGTCTAGGAGCAGAAAAAAAATTGTTTTCATAGAGTTTTTCCAGCAGAAAAAAACTCAAAATGCTCCTAAACGCTGCTAAACACTTCTAAATGCTACTAAAATGCTGCTTACAGCTTTTTTCTAGGTTTTTTTCCCTCTACATGTACTGTAAAAACGCTAATAAAATGCTAACGCTTCTAAATACACTTCTGAACGCTACTAAAAAATACTATTACAAGCATTTTTTATCCAGCGTTTTTCCCAGCAGTTTTTGAGCTTAACCTTCCTGGCAGTATTCCCGAGTGCAACGCCGCATGGTCAGCCCGAGTGTAGCTTGGGGATACCGCTTTTGGTACTGAAACTCTACCCCGAGCTACACTCGGGCTGACCATGCGGCGTTGCACAGGGATTCCCTGAAGCGCTTACCTTGTCCTTTGCTAACGCGATGTCTCTCCTGCAGCGTCCCCAGCCATCTCCTCCGGCCGATGCCGGCATCCGGCTTCCGTGTTCCGGTCCCTGTGAGGTCGGGACGTACGGGAGCCAGAACAGGGCGGCAAATTTAAAAATTAAAAAAAATGTAATTTTTTTTTTTAAATGAATATCACATAGTAAAACATTGCTGTTTCAAAGCATTTCACATACATTTTGTCCCTAGCGCTTTGTCCTGTGCCCTGCCTGCATTTTGACTGTTCTTTCTGCCTGGAAACTGAGAAAAGTCCATGGCGCCCAAAAAGCATCCTTTTAGGTCAAAAGCGGTTTTAGACCATCTAGAGAACAGCGATAGTAAATCAGAACCACTTGCAGAATTGAGTGATAATGATTCGTGGGGAAATTCGTCATCAGACACTGAAAATGATTTTGCGACTTTGCTCAGTGATGTGCGAACTTGGCGCTATATTTCAAATTTCAGTGTTTTTGGTTTGATTATATTATTGAATTAAATTTATTATTATTATATTATTATTTTTTAAGATTATTTATTAAATTATAATTTATGATTTCGTGTTTCAAGTTTTATCATACCCGGGATGTTTACTAGACTCTTGTTCGGACAGATTTCAGTTATTCCTAAAAATTACAGGCCTACAATAAAATAATGACATATTTCCATGCAAAATAATGGTACCGCTTTCAGCACCAAAAATCTGAAATAATCATACCACTAGGGAGGTTAAAAAATGCTAGTGTGCATGGAGCCTAAAAATGAATAGGCTGCCATTCTGAAATGCACCTTGAATGTGTAAATCAAGCCCTACCATGGTAACACATGGAAACTTAGTACACGTATCTCTGAAACTACAGAGATGCCACAAAGTGCAGAATACTGCATCTAAAAAGAACCAAAGCACTGTAAAGTGCATGTGTGGGATATGCACTATAGCCTTGAATCAACTCTAGGTATAGAAACCCCAAAATATCAGATTTGTATGTAGTATAGTTAGATGAAAGCTGAATTTTGACTGGTTGTTATGACTTCATGCACCTTCCCCATAGTTAGACGTACTTCCATAACAAGAAGTTTCTTCACCTTATTCCAACACAATAAACTTTGCAATCCATTTGCACAAACTTTAGTCAACTTCAATCATTTAGCTACACATAAATAGAAAGAATCTAACACCAACTGCTATAATCACATTTTACACAGAAACAGATGAAAATTATAACAATAAACAGCAATTACATCATAATAATAAAAAATCCCTAAAGCACTGCATTAAAACACTTTCCTGACAAAATTTAATGCACCTTCAAAAGTCTTTGTGATGCAAGAGAAAGCTTTTTATGTATTTATTCAAAAAGTTGGAAATAGAAAAAGGTAAGCCAGAAAATAAGGAAAAGTCAAAAGTGCTATAACATGCAAGTAAGTCATATTTAGCTTTTACAATGGTACACAGAAAAATGATATGCAATTGCAGAGCCACAACTAAGAAGCCATTCTTCATGTTGTTCTCAAGAAAAGGTAAAGTATGATTTTGAATGTTACCTTTAAAATGATGATAATCATCATTATACCTCTGCTGGCCTCATATGGTTTCATGTGACATGTATCAGCTCTTAGAGTAAAAAAATTGATTGCAGACTGAACCCTTCACTGGATACATAGGTCAAGTAGGGCAGTCTTGTTCAAAATATTCAGCTAAGAAAGTTAGCAGAGCTTCTAGCAAATCTATTGAAGCCTTTAAAGTGTTACTATACCCACAAAAGTAAACTCAGTCTGTATATGCAGTAAAGTATGCTTGTTATACTCACTGTGGAACCTATGGGGTTAATCCTCTGCATTTTGTAAAAATAATGTTTGATCCTGTCTTCTCTGATCCTCACCTTTTTCTACTGTCCCCAATCCATCTGCTGATAGAACAGAGCCTTGAGGGCAACCTGCACATGCTCAATTTGGAGTGTATTGCTAGTGAATTTTCTTTTCATGTGCTCAGCACAGGGTCAATCAGCACTGTCCAGACAGAGTCAGGGGACCTGCAGCCTCATAGGAGAGTCAGAAGAGAATGAAAACTCCTCCTACAAGCTTTAATCAGTGCTCAGCTGGACACTGATAGAAGTCACAAGACTGCTCTAACTGTTGATGTGAAAACGTATTTAGCTGTTTATATTTACTAAAATAATTGCACTTCCGTGTTCTATGTACTATGGGAGACCAAATGTAGCAAATGCAGGGTCCTGCTTTAAAGCAAAGTCACTACCAGTTTTGGGATGTATTGCCAGAATTTGAAAAGCATTGCTGAATTCCCCAGGAGACTCAGTGTACATAGCACTTGGCTCAGTTCAAATATGTGCATCATTTGTTGAGATAGCATAGTCGACCCCCTTCCCCTCCCCCAGGGTACTTGTGCAACCATACTGCTCACAGGGAGACAATGACTTAATTAGTTCTGACTGACACACATGTAGGACAGGGGAACACAGAGCCCCCCCACTTATCTCCATTGAATTCAGAGCAGTGGTCATTTCTGACTGTAGCTCCATCTCCTGCCTCCAAAGTCTAAAAATGTGGTTCTTTCATGGTGGGAAGCCACAGCCAGCATTGAGCCACACCACCTCACTATTCTACAGACTCTGTTCTGTTCAGTACACAAACTATTCGGGGGAACAGAGAGAATGAAAACTGTCACTGTGTTATGCAAGGTGACAACAGAACATACCAGCTATTACACATTTGAGACCGCCTAGTGTAGTACCTGGCTTATGCTATTGTCAGCTTGTGCTTTTGTGAATGAAATCCCTTCTTCTCCAGCTGGAATCATTCACCACACAATCTGACAGTTTCCACTCTCTTTGTTCACCCAGAATAGAAGGTTGCAGGCCCAGACTCTGTGTAAGCTATGTTGGCTTTGTGTCAGTGCCTGTCATGCTCACTTCTTCTCCCTAAGCTGCCATTCAGAACTCTGTTTCTATTGATCTGAGTTGTCAGATATCTCACAGCAATCACAGCATAAAATCATATGTGTGCAAGTTCTATTTGCACAGAATCCCCTGAGGGATTTAACAAGCTGTCTTTTCTTCAAGTAGCTACAGTAACAGTTTTTTTGAATTTTTGGGATAAAAGCTTTACATTTAAAAAGCTGACCATTGTAAGTATCCTTGTCAGTGTTCAATAGTTTATCTCAACCCTCTAACTTCCACATCTACTGGGCAGCTTGGTCTTTTGGAAAATAATAGACCTACTGGGGTGAAAATAAAGGGTGGAAAATGCAGCAACCACATCTAAGAATTAGTAAACTACTACATTTAATAAAGTAAATTTTATTTTTGATTTAATTTGATACTGTTCCAACTGCAGCAACCATAGGTTAGCTACTTCTCTCATTTAATATAGTGCTTCAGGTATGACACAATACTGTTCAATAAAATGTTGGTTGCCAGATTATAAAACCTCATAATGTAGAAAAATTAAAAGTTCACCTTTACCAATAAACTGACTATGCATTTAACCATTTGCCGCCCACCCGCAGTACATTTACTGCGGGCGGGTGGTATGTGCAGGCTGAATCATGTACATCATCCAGCCAGCTCCGGATTAGGGACACATACCATGCCGCTCCCACGATCATTGTGTCCACCGAACACAGTGGATTGTGGCTCCTGGTACCCGGCCGCTTGAAGTGGCTTGGGGATCATGTGATTGCTATGTGATGACTATCATAATATCAACAAAGCTGTTATAAATTATTATCATTCATAACCGCTTTCATAACAGTTGTGCTTTCTATACAGTGATGCTTTGATTGGCCCACAGCTATCACATGGTACCTGGGCCAATTGCAGCACCTTGTACCATGTGATTAGCTGTAGCCAATCACAGACCACTAGTAATCATAGCTGTTATGAACGTAACCCATTTATGACAGTTTAAACTATTGCTGTTACAATGATCATCATTGTGATAGCAATCAAAGTGTTGCAAAAAAATCCCTGATCACCCCACAGAGTAGTACAGTGTTATTATAGTGACACTGAACTACTCTGATGAAAGTATGTTAAAAACAATTGTAAAAAAAGAAAAACATTTTAAAAAAAGTTAAAATTATTCAAATTTTTTAAACATACTGTCACCAGTCAAAATCCCTGATCACTGCCACACCAGTAAAAAAAAAAAACTAATTTTATTTAATTTATTCATTTCTCAAAAAAATGGGCCAAAAAATTACATCTTCAACAAATTTGCCATGCCTCTTACTAAATACCTCGGACTGTCTATTTTCCAAAAAGGGTAACTTGGGGGGTATTTGCACTGTCCTGGCATTTTAAAGGCCTCAAGAAATTAGATAGGCTGTCACTATATCAGAATTGATTAATTTTCGAATATACCGTATTTTTCAGTTCATAAGACGCACTATTTCCCCTCAAAAAATGGGGGGAAATGTCTGTACATCTTATGGAGCAAATATTGACCAGGACTCCCCCCCTCCCCACCGCCGTGTTAGAATACCAGGCCGGCCACTCGGCTCTTCTGTGGCAGAAGAGAGTCTCCAAGTCATTAAGGTTTGGTGGCTGATGTTTAGCAACTCGAACTTTTAGCTCCCTACACAGATGTTCAATCAGATTAAGGTCTGGAGACTGGCTAGGCCACTCCAGGATCTTAATGTGCTTCTTCTTGAGCAACTCCTTTGTTACCTTGGCCGTTTGTTTTTTGGGTCACGCCGGGGCGGCCGCACATTTTGTTATGCTGGAACACCCATCCATGACCCATTTTCAATGCCCTGGCTGAGGGAAGAAGGTTCTCACCCAAGATTTGACGGTACAATGCCCCATCCATCATCCCTTTGATGCGGTGCAGTTGTCCTGTCCCCTTAAAAGAAAAACACCCCCAAAGTCGAATGTTTCCACCACGTTTGACAGTTGGGCTGGTGTTCTTGGGCTCATAGGCAGCATTCCTCCACTTCCAAACACAATGAGTTGAGGCCAAAGAGCTCGATTTTGGTCTCATCTGACCACAACACTTTCAACCAATCCTCCTCTGCATCATTCAGATGTTCAGTGGCAAACTTCAGACGGGCCTGGACATGTGCTTTCTTGAGCAGAGGGACCTTGTGGGCACTGCAGGATTTTAATCCTTGTCGGTGCAGTGTGTTACCATTTGTTTTCTTGGTGACTGTGGTCCCAGCTGCCTGGAGATCATTGACAAGATCCTCACGTGTAGTTCTGGGATGATTCCTCACTGTTCTCATGGTCATTGACACTC